GTTAACCTTAAATGTAAATGGGCTAAATGCCCCAATCAAAAGACACAGGCTGGCAAATTGGATAAAGAGTCAAGACCCATTGGTGTGCTATATTCAGGAGACCCATCTCACATACAAAAACACACATAGCATCAAAATGGAGGGATAGAGGAAGACTTACCAAGCAAATGGAGAGCAAAATTTAAGAAGAAAAAAAAAAACAGGGGTTGCAAACATAGTCTCTGATAAAACAGACTTTAAGAGACAAAGAAGGACATTACATAATGGTAAATGAATCAATGCAGCAAGAAGAGCTAATCATCCTAAATATATATACACCCAACACAGGAGCACCCAGGCACATAAAGCAAGTTCTTAATGACCTACAAAGAAGCTTAGACTCCCATACAACAATAGTGGGAGACTTAAACACTCCACTGTCAATATTAGACAGATCAATGAGACAGAAAATTAACAAGGATATCCAGGACTTGAACTCAGATCTGGACCAAATGGACCTAATAGACATCTACAGAACTATCCACCCCAAATCCACAGAATATACATTCTTCTCAGCAGCACATCACACCTACTCTAAAATTCACCACATATTTGGAAGTAAATCACTCCTCAGCCAATGCAAAAGAATGGAAATCATAACAGTCTCTCAGACCACGGTGCAATCAAATTAGAACAGAGGATTAAGAAACTCACTCAAAACCACACATCATGGAAACAGAACAACCTGATCCTGAATGACTACTGGATAAATAATGAAATGAAGGCAAAAATAAAGATGTTCTTTGAAACTAGTGAGAACAAAGACACAATATACCAGAATCTCTGGGACAGATTTAAAGCAGTATCTAGAGGTGGGTGTGGGAGAAGAGTAACATGCACAGGAGAGGAATAGGGGAGAAAGGGATCAGGGCCTTTGGTTTCTAGCTCCAGGCCACCTCGAAAATATGAACTAGCCAATCTTAAACAGCACACCACACAGTGCAGGCTGTGTGTCCCTGGCCCTCTCTTAGGGCTCCTCTTTCCTAATCTCACCTGAGCTCACTTGTCCTCTTATTGATTACTGCCAAAGTCATTTCCTCCTTAGAATCTGTACATGCTGCTGCTCTGTATATCATCTCTTCTATAAGATTTTGTACTGAATAAGAAGCAACCTTTCTTGAAAGAGGAGATTTAATTCTAGCCAAAAGATTTTATTAACCAATTGTTTGTTATTAGGCAATTAAAACAAGATTTGAAAACACTCAATTATCCTATCATTTAAAGATGACCCCTACTTAGCATGTGATATTTGTTCTTCCACTTTTCCTTTTCAACACAATGTGTGTGCACCATGGAGGTCACTGCTGCACATGTTCACACTGACTCCAGCACTGAGACAGCCCGTCATGTGAGTGGCGCAGAGAAGGGGCAATGACCCTCTCCAACCCAACTCTGCATGTGATTCCAGCTGGGAAAATGGGGCAAGGCTAACACCGAACTTGATCCTTAAGGTTTTAAAAGATACTATGTCTTGGGATTGGGTTCTACTGAATTTCTAAAGCTTGCGGTCATTATCTCTTTAAATACGATAGAATATGTCACTAATTGTTCTCGGATTTTCAACAGGAGCTGAGGAATGACTCCACCACTGTAGACCAAAAGCCTGTGAACTCTGTATGTTTTACATTAACAATCACACTAAATCCCACTGTACAATGTACCTACTCAAACCCTGGGCAAGCTGACCTTTCAGACCATCCAATGATAGTTTCTGGGATCTGAATAGGTTTTCATTCTTCCACATGCACACAGAAGTGCTGGAACAACTTGGCATAGTGAGGAATTACGCTAGGGTGCACGACAGCTGACTGTACAATATACCTACTCCAACACTGGGTTATGCAACCATTAAGACTATCTAACAACAATAGACAGTGTTTGGGATTTCTATACACTTTCACGCTTTCCTGTGCACCCAGAGATGCTAGGTCTCCCTGGCACAGTAACAAATCACACCAGGGCATTATGATGATTCCAGTGCAGTAGAACACAGCATCATCTTTTCCTCCACTCCTGAGTTCACAATAGTCTGTTCCATTAAGGAGACACGAACAAAAAATGCTCACCACTGCATCATCTCTGAGGATGGGAATATACAACTAACCTTCACATTCAGCTGTGGTAGAGGATGAAGGGACTTATTTATGAAAAGTGCAGTGGTGATGAAATTTGTTTTTAGAACGTTAATCTTTGTGTTATGCGTTGCACATGTTTTCTGGGGGAAAGCACACACACTCTCAAAGACATCCACAATCACTCCATGGAAACTCTCTCCCTTATACCACCTGACCCTGATGAACACCATCCTATTCTATCTAAATGATACTGCTGCTTCCAGAAACTAGAGGAGATCATCTCAAGTTCTTTGATGGACTCTCCATCTTTTTTACACCAAACTGCTCAAACCTCATTTCTAGCAGGAAGTTCCAACCAGATTTGTTTTCCAGCAAATGTAGACTAGAAAGTACTACCTTTGTCAACACTAAGATTTTTCCTTAGCAAAGGGGTGATCCCAGAATACATACTGTCATCCAGCAAAGTTGAGTGTCCCTGCATTTAGGAAAAAAGCAAAAACAAAACACTATGAGGGTCAGGCATGCTGTGTCTTGTGTGCACAGGTTTTGTCTTCACTTGGGGACATTACAAAACCAGGTGGGAAATACTGGTACAGGCAATAGCCCCAATGCCTAAAAGATGTTTGTGGAAAGGCACAATGTTTTTGTCCATGATGTCATGATGTTTCCACTTTATTTTCATGCAAATTCACTTTTTTTTAAAAAAAGTATTTTTCCTGAAAAATGCTTCCTCCCACACAGTTTGTAAAGAGCTGTCAATTTATGGATGCCATCTTGAATCAGTACTTAGTTCGAAAAAAACTCACTTTGCATTATCCCACCAAGAAAGGGTCATCTATAATGTACAGTATAAGGTTTCCATATTCTAATTAAAATGAACAACAAAACACCCTTTTCAAAGAAAGAAGACTTTACCTTGTGAACAGCTACAACTTGCTCTGACGAATTTATCCCAGGAAGGGTTAGTGCTGGAACAAATTCTGCATCTAGAAAATAGAGTAACAATCAACACATTGGTTCCACTGAGGGAGCCACTCTGGTGTCCTTGGGTGTTGTGAAGAGGGTGCTGGCCTCTGTGGAGAAGCTGGGTTAACAGCACAGGCTGAGCTGCTGCTGGCCCATCCTGCTTGGTGGTAAAGGCAGGCAAATGGGATCATGAGAAGAGCCATAGAACAATGAGGTCTTGGTCCTCTAGCTAAAGCAAGCTCCTCAATGTGAGATAGCCCATCTCAAGTAGGGTGCACCACACAGGGCAGGCCGTGCTTCCCTGCAGCATTTCAGGGCTCCTCCTTCCTAAACTGACCTGAGCTAACTTGCCCTCCCTTCGTGATCCCCTCGAGGTCATTTTCTCCACAGGATCCACATGTGTTACTGCTGTTTCCCTCTTAGATCATTTTGTACTAGATAAAAAGCAACCTTTATTCAAAGAGGAGACTTAATTCCAGCCAAAATATTCTATGTATTCACTAACCTTTTGTTTTAAAGAAGACTAGATCAAGACTTGAAAATACTCAATTATCCTACCATGCTCTTGCTGGCACTGACTCCAGCATTGGGACAGCACATCATGGGGGGCAGCAGGTGGGGGTTCTGACCCTCTCCAACCCAGCTGTGCAGAAGATTCCAGCAGAGATGAGTACCAGGATAACACCCAAGTTTTCCCTTCAATTCTTTTTTGAGATGGAATCTTGCTTTGTCACCTTGGTTGGAGTCCACTGTTGTGATCTTGGCTCCCTGCAACCTCCGCCTCCCTGCAACTTCTGCCTCCCTGAATCGTTGGGACTGCAGGCACATGCCACCACACATGGCTACTGTTTGTATTTTTAGAGGCTGGGTTTCACCATATTGGCCAGGCTGGTCTTGAACTCCTGACCTCGTGATCCACCCGCCTCAGCCTCCCAAAGTGCTAGGATTACAGGCATGAGCCTCTGTGCCTGGACTTTCCTTCAGTTACTTGGTGCTGTGTCTTGGATGTGTGTGCTTAACTGCAGCATATGTAAGGCTTGTGGTGATTATCTCATTAAATATAAAATAATATGTCTGACTATTTTCTGCTTTTGACCAGGAGCTGAGAAAATAATCCAGCACTGCAGCCAAAATCCTGACCTTTCAATGTCTGTTTCCCACTTCTGACCACACCAAAGTCCACTGTAAAATGTACCTATTCCTACACTGAGTTATGTGATGTTTGGGACAATCCTATAAGAGAGACAGTGTTTGGGATTTCTAAAAGCTATCAACCTTACATATGCACACCTAGGTGCCAAAACTCTCTCACATAATGACAAATTGTACCAGAACTATGTGATTACTTCGGATTAGTAGCCCATGGCATCAACCTTCCACCCACTCCTGAGTTCACCTCTGCCTCTTCCACTGAAGAGATAAAGAGCTTGGCAATCTCATCTCTGCACTATCTCCATCTGATTACTGGAGATACTAAACTTATCTTGAGCTACAGATGTGGTGGAGGATAACTGGGCTGATTTACATAAGGTGTGCAGTGGTGATAAAATTTTTGTTTACAACATTCACCTTTTTGTTGAGCTGTGCACATGGAAACATGCTTTCTGGAGAAATGTACACACACTCCCAAAGACATTCACAATCACTATACAGAGACTCTCACCTTATTAACCCCCACCTTGAGGCATCCCATTCTATTTCGTAAAAATGACACTACAGCTAACAGGAACTATGGAAGGGAGCAACCACTCATCAGTACACTCTTAATTTCTGCCCAAACCTTGTTTTCCAAAAGGAAGCTCCAATGACAGTGCCTCTCCAGAAAAAGCAGGCAAGAAAGTGTCAACTTTCTCAACACTAAGATTTTTCCTAAGCAAAATGGTGATCCCAGAATACGTACTGCTCCACTGTGCAAGTGAGGATGACTCTTCCTGCATTAAGAGAAAGAAAAACACTGAGGGTAAGATCATGCTGTCTCCTGTATACACAGGTCTTTTTCCTAACTGTTCCTAACAGGCACTATTAGAAAACCAGATGGAAAATTGTGGTGGAGGCTACAGCCCCAAACATAAAGCCTAGAGAACACTTGTAGAAAGGCACCAGCTTTTGGGGCAGGATATTAAAGTTTATTTTGGTTGTAAATTCATAATTTTCAAGAAAGATTTTCTCCTGAGGAAAATGCTTGCTGACAACAGTTTATATTAATTCTCATTTTACATTTTCCTACCTAGAAATTCACTAAGTCATCTTAGTGTATATGTACATGGTCTCATATCTATCTTTAAGTAAAATAAAAAGAAACATAGGAAAATAAAATTCCCCCTTTCAGACAAAGGAAGAACTTACTGTGGTAAGCGAGAGGGATCCCGGAAAGAGTTCTATATAGGGAAATGCTGCTGCAGGGTACTCTTGTTGATCTAGGAGACATAGGGCAAGTGTCACCACATGGATTCTACTGAGGAAATCCCTTGGGTTGCATTGGGTGGTGTGGACAGGAGGCTGGCTTATGAAGAAGGTGAGTTACAGCAGATGGAGCTGTAGACCCCTCCTCCTCATCTCACTCTGTTGCTCAGGCTGGACTGCAGTGGCATGACCTAGGCTCACTGCAACCTCCATTTCCCAGGATTAAGTGATTCTCCTGCCACAGTCTCCTAACTGGCTGAGATTACTGACACCCACCACCACATGCAGTTAGTTTTCGTGTTTTCAGTAGAGATAGTGTTTCACCGTGATAGCCAGGATGGTCTAAAACACCTGACCTCAAGTAATTAACCCACCTCAGCCTACCAAAATGCTAGGATTATAGGCACAAGCCACCACACCCAGCCTGTTCTCTGCTTTTAAACAGGAGCTGGGAAATAACCCAATCACAGCAGCAAAAGCTTGTAACCTCTCCATGTGTGTTTCACATTTCTAACCACAGAAAAGTCCACTGTGAAATTTACCTATTCTAATCCTGGGTTATGTGACCATTAAGACCATCCCATAGATGGAGATCCAAGATGGCCCTTTAGGAACAGCTCAGGATTGCAGCTCCCAGTGAAAGTGCAGAGCGTGAGTGGACGCCGCATTTTTATCGCCCAAGGACTAGGAAATTCCCAGGTGGAGG